ATAAATGTATGAGAACATGCTTCTCTTTATTATTAACTGAATAGATAGAAGATCATGCATTCTTTTTGCAAAATTTACTTGACCATAAACATACATTCTTTTTTCGCTAACGCTACCATTCAAAATACATACATTCTTTTAACCATTTTTAGTTACCATTAAACACAGAGCGGTGAAACCGAACTGTCATCATCAATTACAACGCGGCTGTCAGAATAAAGTACACATTAAATACACGCCTGACAGTCTTAAGTGCACCTTCGTAGAACGACTTGTTGAATTTGAACTACTATGTTTGAAAAAGACAACGTATTTTCGTGAACGTATATTATTCATGGAGTGAATAAAAAAGATAAAATCAAGTGGAAAATAAATATGTGTGTAAAAATATGTTGTTTCTCTCTTTCCTATTTAAATGCAATGAATGATTTGGATGACACATCCACATTATCAAATTTAGAAAAATGTTTCAAACATGAATATATTTATCTAAGTTTTCTTTAGATTTTCTGATGTTCAAATGAATTTTAAAATCAATTAATTCATTTTTCTCATTATTTACGTTCGCTTCCTACAAAGTGAGCTTAAATGTGTTTCAGGAGCCATGGGAATAAAGTGGCTCCTTAAACACACAATGGCTTTGTTCCACCGAGTGCATAAATTTGTTCTACTCATTGAACATGTCAGTAGATACTTAACCTCACTTTGTCAATCAAAAACAAGAAAAATGTTTGCAAAGAATTTCTGAGCAAAAAGAAGAAAGTTCATATTCTTTTTCGGTATATTTTCAAACGTTTCTAAAATATGAATAAACAATAACTAGGTATATTTTTATAAATATTTGAAATATTTTTTAACCAGAATGCTTGAAATATGTACTCATGTAATTATGCATACTTTTAGCGCGTTCCGCAACGAATGACAACCGACTACGCGGTCCCCGTTGTAGTTTGACAGTTCGGTTTCACCGCTCTGATTAAACATACTTCTCTTTTACTCAGACAAAATCGATCGAAAACATACTTTCCTTTTCAAATATTAAAAACTGGAAAAAAACATACGTTCTTTTACGTCTCACAAATAGATATGTATATTACACATCGTTTGCCGCTATCTCTTTCTTTCTCATTTTGCATTACATTCTATCTATGATAAAACCAATCTATTTCGGAAAATTGCCCGGCCTCTTTGCTCAACATTTGCCCGCATTCGATGTGGTCATTAAAAATTGGTGTAAATTCGAACGGGTCAAAAACAGCATCGCACATAAATTAGATGGAGACCCAATAACTTTAGAAGAATCGAACTAAAAATAGACATTGAAATTCAATGTATGCGTTGAAAATAGGAATTAACGCAAAACTATGATGTTTGACTGGATCTGGCAGCTAAACTATCGCGAAAATTGAAGCGCTTACCTTATAATTTAAAAGCTATTTATATATCAATCATTTTGTTTCGTATCTTTGGTAATGAATGACATGTTCAATTCATCTGGTTTTGATATATGCCCGATTGCGAAGCAAATTTGCTCTAAAACGAAAGGGCGTTGGCATTTGAGCTGTAAACATTTATGCAAAAGAAATTGGACTGGCTTCGAAATATCTAATAACAGAATTGCTCCGGAATATCCGATCTGACCACATTCAAACATTCACACTTCATGAATAAAAAACTGAACAAATTGAAATTTGTTATTTAAGCATTCGATGTGGTTGTAAAGCAAAATATTGACTATAAGTTCCAATTCCCCACACCACGCAATGTGTTGAGATTGAACGTTAAGTAAGCTGTTTGCATTCACGATTTTTTGTTGTTGTTGTTCTCTCCATTCATTTCGCAGAATTTAAAGACTATAAATGCATGAAGCAAACGAACAATTTGTTTTATCGATATGAATGGCGGTATGTGATGAGCATTTCTGATGTGTTGAAATTTAACATGAAAATTGATTGGATTCATAGAGGAAAAATAATAATAAGAGAGACAGAGCTAATAAATTGATAAATTGATAAATTGAAATCGTCAATACAAGCACTATTGATTTAAATATAGAGCATAAAGAACATGTGAAATTGTGCAGTGCCATTCGCATAAAATATTGCATGTCTAAAAAAAAACTCAAATCGTCAAAGCATTACTAGCTAGATTTCATATCGGCAAAACAAAAACAAACGATCTAAACTGCAAGGCTGACAACAAGTCGCTATTATCATTTTTTTTTACTTGCACTGATGATTGTTAAGAGTATTTGTGGCATGTTTGGTGTTCAACTTAAGTTCTTGATCCACTTTTTTGAAAATATACAAAAACAATGACGCATTTGAATGGAACATGAGAGTGATTTTCTAAAAGAAGAGCCGAGAATAGTTAAAAATTGAAAAGAAAAAACACACATTGTGAATCAACACATAAAGTAGTTAAACATGAGAAAAGAAAAATTAACTGCAGCCGAGAACAGTTTGGGATTGGTTTAAGTCATGCGCTGATTCAAAAATTCTAAATATAAAAGCTGACGAAATCAAGTTGTGCGTTGTTTTTGCCGGTTGATTGTGTATTTGATTTTGTAAGCGGTTGAATCTTTTTGCCCGATGTGATACACAATCCGTTTAATGAGAGACAGAGAAGAATGAAAAAAGAGTATCATATAGTCTGTATAATCTTGTTATATATATTTGAAATGAATTTTATTTCGTTATTGTTGTTGCTTTCCTCGTCGACATCATTCCTCATTCATCTCCTTGAAGACGGGCAAAACAAATATTGGTTTTGTTGTTGACTCGGTTTTGTTGCGTTTTTTTTTTTTTCGCTCGTATTTCCTTTTTACACTAATCGATTTACGTAGCGAAATTGTGTATGATATCGAAATATTTGTGTATTGAATTAAACAGATATTTGCTTTTGATGGGAAAATCAATCACAGATATTACGTAACGCGCGCGCTAAGGAATAGAAATTGGGATTTGCCATTCGTGTGGTGTATTTTATGTGATGTAACGAGCTTGTGAACGTGTTATACATTCATTGCTGTGACTATAAAATATGCTCGTCAAACGGCTTTGATTTTCGTACCATTTTTTTTCTCTCTGTTTCTCATTGAATGCAATTTTGTATGGTAAAAAACCGAGGATGTAAGGTAATAATCAAAGCGAGTCATATAATTAAATCCAAGGGGTGAATTACTACTGAAAGCCGGTTTTCAGTACTTTTCAGTACCTGAGATCGATTTTCAGTAGCGGTTCAGTTTTTTCAGTACCTAGTAAATATATATGACTTTTATTGCAGTTCAGTATTATCAAAATTTCTTGACACTTGTGTTTAATGTTTGTTTTCTAGCATTCGAAATGGAAATTGAACGTATTTTATCAAAAAAAAATCAATTTATATTTGAATTAGAAAAGTCTAAAGACACAATAAAGAGGCTGACATCAGAAAAGAGTGATTTATGTCGAAAATATATGTCTGGCAATTTTCGTCGAATGAAAATTTCTATGACATTGATGTGTGTATCATCAACTCTATGAAATGACAGTGCATCTCTGAAACCACGAAGACTAAAATCAAACAAAACAAGAATGGATTTTTTACACAAATGTTTTTCGGCGTATTTTTATTTCCAAACTACTGAATGTCGTATTTTTATAGTTTGGCACTTTTGTAGACAAATCTTTTTCAATTTTTTCCAAAATTCTACCTCAATATCAATTTTTAAACTGTATGGCGTTAATGATATAAGTCAAGTGTCATAGTTTGACGTATTCAATGCATAAACTGACACTGAAGTACTGAAAACCGGTTTTCAGTACTTTTCAGTATCAAGAAAAAAAAAAATTCAGTGGTTTTCAGTACTTTCAATCAATTCAGTAGTGAATCGCCCCTTAATTAAATCAGTAGTTAAATCAAGTCGTAGCTTTTTCTTGAAGCTTAAACGATTGAAATCCTATGTGACTTATAAGTCACATCAGGCCAACAAATTCTTATCTTTGGTGATTCCATCTGAAGTACACAGTAAAAACAGAGTGTTTTGCATAGAAATGACGACAAAGTCGTTATCGTTTCAATATACGTAGAAAAAAAAATTCTATATCAACAGTAGATATACAAGCCTTCAAATGCAAGACCACGTAAAACTAACGAAATCAATCAAGAATGTGTATGTTAATATCAATATCAGCAATAACTTTCAAAGTTTGATTTAAGACCGAAAACTAATTTGCTTCACATTTGATCGAATTTCGAATTTCTGACGCTTTTCGTTTTCGCAAAGAGAAGGGAAATTAATTTACAACCTTCTCCACGCAACACTGATGTTCAAAAACTTAGAATCTCAATATTTTATGCATACAACATAGAAAATTTACCGCAAACATATTATAAAATGGGGAACTCAAAGTGCCAGACCGAAATCTTAATCTTTGCACTTTCTAAGGTGTTACGAGAAATATCGAGTTCTTCCAATTTTTTCAAGGCTTCAAACAGTCGCAAATCGTCGAAAGAAAGATTTGTGTCACTCAAGTCCAAATTCATTAAATTGGTGAACCATTCAAATGTTGTGGCATTCAATTCTCCCACTAAATCGGATTTCAATGCACTTCCTATGTTTCAAATTTCAAACGATTGATAGCAGCGAATAATGTGTAGTATTATCTATCACAGTGTATTATCTCTTTTGAGAGACGGTTGTCGCCAATGCATATTTTTATACTCTGACGACATAATGTGATGCATTAATTAATGCAGTGTGAGATAAGTAAATGACTTGGGCAGAGTTAGAGATTTGTGTTTCCAATCTGTAAACTTTAAAATCATATTTTATTCATATATTATTGCCTTAATCGCTGTGGATGGATTTTGGACTGTATCTCTCTCTCTCTCTCTCTCTTCATCTAATTTCCATTATCTCTTGCTTAATCGTTCAGTTCGCATATCTGATCAACGGGTATGTAAGCGGATGTTGTTCCATTCCAAAGTCATACAGTGTCTGGTTGCGACTAGGGGGATTTAACTACGTGAAAACTTGTAAAAAAATGATATAAACGCGCACGAAATTGTTACATTCACCAGAGAACTTGCATGATTCCACTCAGTTGACAAGTTCCGTATTAAAACAACATGCGCGAACGCGCGCGAGTTCGTGTGCAAACTTGTAGCTGGACGACGCGCACACATCAGTCGTTCCATTTATTATATCTGGATTAACTTTTTCTTCAACACTTTCTCCAGCTCTTTAAAAATATTTCCTTTGTCCATTTTATAATTATATAAATCTTTGAACTTTTGGAAAGGATGTGAAAAATCTTTATACACGTAAACAACCGATTTTTAGTTTGAAACGCGTTTTAGTTGTCAAATAACAACTTGAAAAACGCGCAAAACCATAAACAAACTTGTGTAAACTTGTGACCGTGCGCGTCAGTACGTACAACAAACGCGTCGAACTTCCGCGAATCAAGCAAACTGGCAGAAAACATGCTGAACTCGTAAGAGTTAAATTCCCCTAGGGTTGCGACCAAGTAAAGAAGTATTACCTTCCACAGTAAAATGTCTCGAATGGTAAACTTCTGGTTGCAACCAAGTGATCAAGAGTACTACCCAGCTGCAGAATAAAAAATGCAGTATGGAATACTCGCTGTGTCCTTTGATCAATCAATCGTGATGATGTTGACGCTGCTGCAATACATTGTGTAAGTATAAATCAATTAAATTAAAATTTTCTTTTGGCTTAGGTTGGCGGTGTTATGTTTTGGTTGATTTTGTTTTCTAATCTGTCTAGTTTTTTTTTTCATTGTTTTATTGCATAGTTTTATGGAAGCTGATCAACGAAATAACAGAACAACTAGTGAACATAGAGCTACCAACAAAGTGACGATGATGACTCTGGCTAGCTACAGCAATGGATGGATGGATGGATGCAGTAACAACAACAACAACAGTTACAGTTACAGCAGTTGCAGTGATCTCAGGCGTTCCAGAGTCCAGTATCAGTATTAGCAACTTCAGATTGATAGATTTAAGTAAAACATTAAAAAACCTATTGTAAGAACATTTGTGTTCTACAAAGTGTCATGGCTGCTGAATAGTTTCATATGGTTTCCTCAGCATAGCACTCATTGTAATTCGATCGTTCCGTTTCTGGAGTGTGTTTGATTACACATGATTTTGGCATGTTCAAATTTGATGTTTTGCAATTTCCATCAATTAATTGAGAGAATGTGCCATCGGACACTTTGTATCTCATCAATTTTAAGACCCAAATGAAACATGCGAAAAGAAGGGTGTTCGGTGTAGAATATTTTTTTAGGGTTTGGACTGAATCGTCTCAAGTGGTTAATTGAAACCAATACCAATGAAAGATACTTTCAAACATGGAGAGAACAGAAATATTACCGGAAAAACTTACCTCCTTTTGATGCGCTAAAAGTTCGTAATCTGTCAACATCTTCATCATCATTGTCACTAATTTGTAAATGATTGAAATTAGCAGATGGCACATCTAAATAAGCATTTGATTTCCTTTGGCCTGTGAAAGAAATAAAATGTGGTGAAACTGTAGCAGAACCAAACATGTGTTTTAAGATTGCTGAGCATCTCAGCATTTCGTAAGGCACGGATATATCTGAGCATATCGACGACGCATACAGTGGCGCAGCCGCAACGACTCGACCGGAATGTGTATGTTGTTGCTGCGTGCAGCCACATCAACTGAACACACTTCGGTCGAGTCGTTGCGGCTGCACGTAGCAACACACGCCACTGTATTATACAGTATGCGTCGTCGATATGATCGGATATATCCGTGCCTTACGAAATGCTGAGATGCTCAGCAATCTTAAAACACATGTTTGAGCAGAACTCGGTCTAGATATAACATAATAAAGTTTAACCGTTGAATTAATTTAAATCCATTTGTGTGAAGAGTGAAACGTCGGAAACAAGATAAATAAATAATATGGAATATCTTCATATGCTCTTTTCTTATTTTTCTCAATCTCTTCGTTACTTGAATTTTCCGTGTTAGAAAGAAATTTCGACATAGAACAGAAATTAAAAAATTGAATGTGTTGAAAAAAAGTTGTGTTTTAACAGTCATAGAACATGAACAGACGTACTCTTAAGTATGCAAATCCTTTTCAGCGTTAATTGTTGGTGTCTAAAGAACGCCTATGACACACTCAAGCCATTTTGAAATGCCAAAATAATTTTCAATATTGACAGCAAGAGAGAAAGTTCGAAAATCACGGGTTTTACAAAAAAATCAAAGAAACAAACCATACTGTTAACAGAATGTTGTCAACATTTTTGTCGAAAGTCTTGGAAATGTTTCTACAAGTACTGGTAATAGCAAATCAGAAGAATATTTGCGATAATTTTCACGTTTTCCCCAGATTTTCGAGAGCTGATTCAATTTCATGATCTTGGACACCTCACCATTCGGCAATTTTGACCAATTTTGAGTGAAAATTCAATTGTTCCTTTGCGTTTTTCTTTTATTCTGGAACTTTGTGACTGTAATCTGTCCTCCCAAGTAAATTAAACAGTAAAACTGCGTCGGTATTACATTATTTTATTCAAAAGTCCTGTGTCGACCGATGGCACAAACATAGGGTAACTTTAGGGGCTATAACTCCGCTTTCAGTGATCCAAATGTCATAAAATTTAGATGGGATGTCAGTGAAGGATGTACCTTTCCAACGCCAGTCATTTTCGATAGGTGGCGTTACCAGAAAATGCCCTCTTCGAAAAGTTCTGTTTACTTTGGAACGCACCTTGTTATATAAATTATTAGTTTCAGGTGCAACTTTGTAGTGAGCGTACATCCAAATTCACCTAGCATTGTTTTCGACGTTGAGATATGAAAAGTTGGATACTTACTTTGTGTATGAGTTGGCCTTTTTTGGGAAGCTCGACGTCGTTGTGGTGGTGTCTCTGTTTCATTTAAACGAGGCTCACTTGCACAGTGTGACCTCGATTCATGCAGATTATGTTGTTGTGTATGAACTTTTCTTCGTACCTGTGTACACATAATACACGCATAAATACAAATTACACAAAGTTTTTGGCAAACAAACAAATGAAAAAATAGCAGCAAAGTTTTATTCATTCTTGTGGTGGACCGACCATATAACGATCAATTTATTCAAGGCGTAAAACTGCAAATTCCAGCATAAACACTTATGTAAATTATATAAAATATTTAATCCATTGGTACAATGATGAAGCATGCAATGGACTTCAATGATAACATGGCGATGAAGCTACAACAACAATAACACGTATTTCCAATGTAAACATAAGACGAGCTCTACTGACACGACGCTTGTGGTGATAGTTGAAGATTTCAATCACATAAGCGTATGCATGGCCGAAAATCAAGTAGCCTTTCGCGCAAACCGTATAAATCCTATGATAGCGTGTCTGTAGTGTGTGTGTATATATTGACCGCTCAACGTGTGTTGTGTGCATGACCACTAGAGGCAGATCGAAAAATATCGTCAGTATGGATTCCATAGCCGCGAATGATAAAAACTGGCAAAATTACATTTTGAACATGTATCTTGTATGTGATGGCTGACAGCTAAGCAATCAATATTGATATCTTCGAAAATATGGCGAAGGCCGTAGAAGATATCGGTAAAATCAAGTGAAATTTCGCAGTGCTACCATCAATGGCGTCTCTCTGAGCAAAGTATTTTCAACCTTTTTTTTTTCTCACTTGATCTACAAAGGTTACATTGAACAGAGTCAACAAATTTTATGATAAAATGAAAATAAAAAAACTTTTCCCTCTTTGCTTCAAATGATTCCACAGGGGAGAAATTTTTAACTCATCTAAAATCAAACTTCAGAACACCGGTCGAAAGCTCATAGTTGTAGCACTACCACATCCACATCTACTTTTGTTTGACTCTTATTGGTAACCGATAAATATAAAGTTGAAAGACTTGGAATGGCTGGAAATTTGCAATGAAATTTGAAATATTCTACCATTTTGGTGCAAAGCTCAATTACATCTTTACAATTTATGTTTTTTAATCGAATGTCATCCGTTTGCATTTACGGGTCAAACTAATACAATATGTAAAAAAGTTTCGGAATCGAAGACTACAAGGAATATTTCTGGAAATCATGAAAAAAATATTTTCTGATGAGGGCTTAACTGTGTAAATATTTATGCACAAAAATATGTCTCACACATGAACATTGTAAAAAAATGTCACTCCAGTTGGTTCAAATAGAAGCCATAAGCGGAAAATTAATAAAATCAAATCAAAGTTCTTCTTGTTCAGTCATGGACCAGTCATTTTCATCAAACTAATTCTCCAACTCTCAGTTCATTAATTCCCTTCAATAAATATAATGAATCTTTCAGCATGGGGTAAAAGTCCCGAAGAAAAAAAACCGAACAAACAAACAAAGGTGTAATATAAAAATGAGCTTTGTTTGTGATATCGTGGTTTGGTCCTAGTTTAAATTACGTTTTTCCAAAGCAAACCCATTATATGAGTTTATATGGTGATGTCTCTCATATATTCGCCACTAGCGAATTATGCGTACTTTACGAATTACGTACTAATAATCGGTTGTTCAAGAATAACAAAAGAAAAGAAAAGAAAGGAATTCACTTGCCGAACGAGCACCAGTGATGCGAGCGCTTTGCGTACGTGTGGCAGGTCTTCGCCTTTGGTATCCTATTTCTGGAGTTCCATTGCTTGACGGTGGATTTAATATCGTTTCTAGTGAACCGCTTGTTGGTGCACTTATGGATGCACTACGTGTTTTAACACGTGGCGGTGTTGATTCATAAGCCATTATTACAGCTTATTGAAATCAACGAACACACTTTTTATTGCACACTCCCTCTCTCTCTCTGTACTATCTTTTTGCTCCTGCTCTTCGACACAAAAATGAGTTACACTTAATGAAAACTTTTAAATTAAGTGTATCTATAAACGTGATCTCAGTTGTTTCAATAATGTTATTAGCCGTGTAAGTAATTGCTTTTGTGAAGAAGTCACAGGGAGACTATGTGTTCAAAAAGATGTTTGTAAAGTAAGATTAAAAAAAAAATGAGAAAAGAATTCAAACTAAGTATATATCACTGAATAGATGATGCTCTGCAAGTACACGGATTTCGAATAACCACTTTATTTTTCATCAAATTAATTTGTTAGTTTTCGACATTTTATTCTATCTCTGCGTGTATTTTATTTTACTGACATTATCATAAGAAATTATCACTTTTATTAGCTCACACGTTTTTTTCGTGTACCATAGCAAATTCTCTTTGTGACACGTAGCCAGCAGCAATTTGTCAAGTTCTTTTTTTTCTTTTTTTTTTTGATTTTAACTCTTTTGATATAAATTTAATGTTTGTAGTTTGATCTTTGAACTGGATGGATAGAATTGGTGCGTTTTACATTTGTGTGAACAATTTCTTTCAATTGAGCATAAAAAAAACTATTTGTTATAAAATTTATTCATTGATTCATCTGATTCTTATATTCCCTTTTATCTCTCAAACGTTGTTCACTTGTTCAAATCGATTCACGTGTTATATTCTACTTTTTGCACTTTTGTGTAACAACGATCTATTAATATATTCAATTTTTTGAGCCGTCTATTACGCGATGTGAAACCGCTTCACCTGAAATTAAAATAGAAATTAAATTCAATGATTAATCATGATTTGATTGTTTAGGATAAAAGAAAATATTTATTTTCAATTTTTTTTTTCTTCAAATTCAGAGCCAAAATTTTATATAGAGCAAGTCAAAAAAATAATTATATATATTCGTGCCATCCATTAAAATGTCATTTGACTTTACAGAGTTTTATTTCTCTTCTCGAATACGCATTGGCGATGAATTCATTTGATATGATTAAAATCTCACTATACCCTGACGCTAATGTTTCATATATATGTTTACTTCATTCATACGGGGTTCTGTATATGTGTAACTGATTAATGAAAAATTTAGATGAATCTAATTTTAAAGCAATAAAAGTGAGATTTCTTTAGAGCATATCTCAATTTCGTTGGAATTCAGGGTTCTTTGAGAAAAGCTTTGAAAAAACCAGTTCATTGGCTGATTTTGTTGTTGTTTTGTTCCAAATGATGTTAATGAAAGAAAAAATAACAAGAAATAAATCCATTTCAAATTCGAATTATCTTGTGCGAATGTAAAATATTTCATGTTCAACTTTTAAGCTATCTGGTTAATATCACACACACCGTTATTTATTTATTGCGAATCGTATTTTTCTTTTTCGCTCAGCTTCGCATGAAAGCCTACAGATTGCCGCGGTCATTCAAGTCTCGATGCATATAACATTCTATTGTGTTTGAAATCTAAATAGTGTATTTGTTAATTTATGGTCATCATAAAAAAAATCAATCGATTTCTTAAATCAAACAAACTGAATAAGGATCGCATTATTTGGACACCGCAAACAATATACATATTTATATATATTCAAACAACTTTCTTGCTGCTATCAGTCAGAATATTCATTATTCGATGTTTATTTAGTTTGATTATGAAATTAAACAATCAAATTACAGTTTACATATGATTTAGCAGCATAGGAAAAGTAACTCACACGTACGAAGAATACGAAAAGTTATATCATAACGAACAAAATACACTTTTTGTTCACAATTTATCGATAAAGTGGGATTTGAATCAACATCCACATTCTTTCCGGGGAATTACTCTGTTTTCTTTGTTTCCGTGGTTGCCATTGTTTTTGTGGATGTTGTTTCTTTGGATCTGACAAAAGTGAGAAACGAAAATCTGAAATCCTCTCGAAACGTTTCGGGCGTTATTTAATTCTATAAACTTTTTGCTTATTTTACCGAAGTTTCGAAAAACAGTTTCTGAGTTTCTGGCCATAGCTAACAACTATATATTGGTCACCGTTTTGCCACTGAAAATTATAGAAAATCTTTCATTCGACAACATTTTGACATTGAACTGGCGGTTTTTTGCAAAAGTCAAACGTTTTGATCCAACTGCATGAAGTTTCCCGTGATGATGATGATAGAGAGAGTAAACGAGCGAAAAGAGACACAAAAAAAATGGAATGAGACACAAAATTCCATGTATATGCCAAAATTATGTTAGTTTGCATAGTTTGATTCACAATTAAAACGAATATTATTATATTTCTAAGAAATATTCTGAAATTTTAATAAATTTGCTACACAAAAACCCTATTTTTGTGTAGAAAAGAGTCTACTACACAAGTGCGGGAGAAAAACGCCACAGATCGTCTGAGTGTACGTGTGTTCAGCACACTGTATTGTTTATCACTGTCTCCAAAACTCATTTTGATATTGAAATGAATTTTGGAGAAAAAAAAAATCCGCACATCCACTGACTGGAACGCTTACAAAACACATGAGCACATTTTATTTACATAAGGCATAAGCAAGACTCTGACGCCATTTATTGATTTTAAGGTAGAAATTGTTAAGGTTTTTGTCTTAGATTCACTTCTTAGTTCAATACGAGTGTTTAACTTAACAGAGGGCTTGACGCTAGGGGTTTCACGCAAACTCGAAGGCCGAAGATTTTACTAAATAGCTGGAAATAAAACCATTTTATGTGTAAACTATAGATATTGCTTCTTTTTATTCATAAACTCGAATTTTTTAAAATTTTTTGAATCTAAAAATTTTGGAAGTGGGTTTTGGTGGATCCTCAGGATTGTTCAAAACCGCTCCTGGTTCTGGAAGTGGAACCTCAGGTTGGACCAGGGCATTGTCAAACCCAGTCTGATCCATCCTGAAGATCCATCAAAATCCACTTCCAGAACCGGGAGCAGTTTTGAACGATCCTGAGGATCCACCACAACCCACTTCCAGAACATAATTTTCAAGGTGAATGTTGGAATATTTCGAAATAATACGGATTTTGGTGAATCCCAGAGAATTCGAGAGAAAAGAGAGAAATATTGAAATTTTAGATGAATTTTAAGTTGCGTGAAACCCCTAGGCTTAACGTATATGATTCTATTCAATTTGTAGAAGAGATAAAAACAATATCAGATATTAACCAACGCATCATGTTCAATGAATTTGACATTTTTGCATTGATTTCGTTTCAACTGATTGGTTGTGAATATATGTATGTATGTGTATGTATAATACAAGATGAGTGCGCATGGCACTCCGACTATGCGGCTACTTTTAGCTATATGTGCACTGCGCAGTGTTTCTCATTCCCACACACTACCTTTTGAGCAATATTTATATACATAACATCATGTGACTGTGGTGATATTTTATGTTGCAAAATTCCGTCTAATTAGTTAAGAGTCGTCAGCAGAAGAGAGTATTTTTCTGTTGAATATAGATTTATCCACTATGAATTGCCATTGTGACAGTTACACAATTCTCTTTTTTCCTGGCACAATTATAACAGCTTAACTTTATTTCACAATGACAAGAAAAAATGCACAAGTGTCAAAATTTTGCACACAAAAATGTGGCTATTGCAAAACCATGCACGTACTAAATATTTCATGTCAACTATTTGGTACGTGAAGCTATGGGTTTTTTTTCTCGGAAAATTGCCTTTTGAATGTGCCATCGGCTATAGTAGCTTGATGACAATAACAACAACAAAAATTCTATTCGAGTAACGATGTCGGTGTATGAAAAATGATCCGTTGTTACGTCGAATAGCAAAACTCAAAAAAGAACGAGCAACAGAGGCAGATGGAGAAAAAGAGAGAGCATTGCCAAAAAGCCCTTCAGCGTTATCACCGTAAATGCGCATCCGTCATACTGTGAACAATGTTAATATTTCATTCAAGCGGCCTCTCAGTAATTGTTCACTTTAATTGCAAGCAAATATTGTGGTAGTTAAATTTATGTTTATTTTTCTGCTTTATTTATTTGCTTATGTACATATCTAGGTTCAACATTAAATTGCACGTTCCAAAATCATTTAGATATATTTACTATATAGAATCGTAATGCCTTTGCTGTCGTTTATTTATGTTTTTATTCTTCTTGACTTTATTTCAATTTCACAGTCACCGAATTGAATACTGAACAATTATATTTTCGTTCGTTTGCATTTGCATAAGTGCTGAGACTGTCTATGTTTCTGTTGGAATGCTTTTATCGATTCGTCCCTCATTAAAAAATGTGCCTTATCTGATATTCAGTGATAAAAACATACACACAGATAGAAATGGCGAGGCGAGCTCATTCTACGGAAATGTTCACGCATACCTTTATTCCAAACTTTGTGCCAAACAGCGTGTTACAAATTTGTATATATAAATTCATTAAAAAAAAATGCAACTCCATGGCGGACATAGCTTTGTTAATACGTATTCTCCATATGTATATTATATTCTCGTTCCAAAGACTTCCTCGACAATAAAATTTCAAGCACTCCAATTCGAGTGGTAATGCGAAAATTGTCCAACCATGAGTTGAAAAGAAACGTTTTTTTTTTAAATAATAATAGTTAAAAACTCTTGTGTTTATGACAGCGCTTCACAACATTGCGAATGAGAAAATAAAAGCTGATAATTTCAATTTTGTTGATATGTCATCAAAAACGAGTTTCCAGAAACAGTGAGCTTAAGACTCAATTCAACCATGAATGCATGTGATTTTCATATCACGGAAAATGAGATAGGAGAATAAAAAACTTGTCGGTTACTTGGTTTCGTTGGAATCCTTATTAAGATTCATTTTATCTATTTAGTTTCACTTCAACTGAGTCGAATCAACTCCAAATGAGTTTTCGATTTACATGTATCAATAGAAACTTATTTTGATTTTTTAAACACAACGTGGGACAAACGCGATTGGACACGTTCCAATATCTTTTTCAATCATATCGTCTTCGGGCTTGAACACACTACGTTTGCGCTTTGTATTCGACATAGCAGTCGGTTCGATATGTTGATTCGAATAGGGTTGATTGAAATATGATACGATAATAATTCATGTCTTTCAATCTGTGTAATGAGTTGCAGATAAAGAAAACCAATTTAAGGGTTATTAAGGGTTAAAAGTAAAATGTAATTCAATTGTGTGTCTTCGATTGAAATATTGTAAAATGCTGTTTAAAGAATGACCAAATATAAAAATATTCTCGGCAAATCTAGTTAATCCGTACTGCGATAAAAGCCTATATAAACAATGTTATTATATTTGACAGTATTTGAGTGGATGTCAATGACGATGTGGCAGCGCCACCTATAGAGATTCCTTATTAAGATAAGTGGAACTATTGAGTGCGTGCACCATATCGCACGTAAATTTTCAATATGGCGGCGCCCATAGAATTGAAACGTTAACCAATTTCGTAGTCATGGAATATCACCGTATGAGTTAATCAAGCTTCCGTCGTTATGGTGCTTCCATATAGGTTCACGCGGAAACTTCATGCTCTTGGGAATACTCAGCACATCAACAGAATAATATATTCTACAAATAATATTTCAATCACTTTAAAATGCATAAGAAACCCTTAATTAATTAAATCATATGTATCAAAACCATGTAACATGCTAAATATAGTATATAACGACACAGTTTCAAATTTATGCCCGACTATAGACGGAATTTCGGCTGGTATATGCTCTCAGTCTATATTTTGCCTGAAATTTCAACTG